CCCCTTAAACCTTGTAAATATTATGGAAGTCAAATTATGTGAGGTAAATATTTATTGCTTCTCTGTCAGTCTAATCCAACATTTCATGGAAGTGATCCTGGGTTCTCGAAAGCTGTACTAACCACATTGTAGTGTAAAGAGCCAACTGGCTTCTTTTTCATTCCTAAACTAGGAATGGTGTAATTTCTCCTCTCCCTAATTTATTTAGGGTGGGAAGGGAGAGACTTGTTTGTAGATGAATCAAGTCCTTGACTTTTAAGCACATTTGAGTATTCATAGACTGGTTGATATTAACTCCACCAAATCAAAAATTTGCCTTCCCCCAATAATACATATCTAAGTTTAAAAAAAAAATACATTAATACTATTGAATAGCACTGCTATAAAGGTTCCAGTGTAACTCTGTTCTGTCTGTGTAATAAAATGGGGAGCCATCCACACAGATTAGCAGGTGGTCTTTACCCATGGGCTTTTTTCCTGTTTTCAAGTCAGTGTTACATTGCTTAGAGTTCAGATAGCCATGACAGGTATGGTACTCATCCTAGAGTTGGAAGGGATCTCAATGGCCATCCAATCCAATCCCCTCCCATTTTACAGATGAGGAAACAGAGACCCAGGGAGGCTAAGTGATTTGCTTAAGGTCACAGAAATACGAAGTATCAGAGATAGAATCTGAACCCAGGGTTTCTAACTACAAGGCCATGCTTTTTTTTTTTTTTTAAACAGTACTATGTTGCAGTTCCATTGAATAACAAAATTAGAATTTTCACAAATGCTTTAATATGACATGCAAAATATATGCCACCTTCATTTAAGTTTTAAATAATTATTTAGTTTACTTTCTTCCCCATCCCCCAAATATAACATCGTATAATAGGGAGGCTTCTTTCATTTTAGACTTCCTGTCTTTGTCACTTAACGTAGTACTTACACGTACATACTATATCACTCAAGTGATCCTACTATTGAATTTCTAATTATTAGACTTAAATTAGAGTGACATTTTAAAATTTAAGTAGTTGGACACAACCTCTCCTCTGGATTGGAAAGTCCTGAATCATTCAGAGAAAGTGGGTTTATTTCCAGGTGGAATATTGCATGTTTCAAGAAGGAAATGGTAAAATGCTGCAACACAGCAGTCACTAGCTCCTCTTGAGTCAAACCTTCGTTTTGCTAGAAGTGGCTTTTAGGGATTAGTAGTCATACCCATATTCAAATAGAGGCAGAAACACAGAGTTTTTAACTTAGACACATAGGAATTCGGAGCTGTGTTACAGTGGAAAGAGTGCTGATTAAAAGCCAGAGAACCAGGGTTTGAATCTTGGCTCTGTTACTGACTACCTGTGTGATCTTGGGCAAGTCATTTAACCTTTGAGGACCCCAGTTTCCTTATATGCAAAATAAGGGCTGTTGAACTAGTTGACCACCATGTGCCCTGTTCGATTATAAATTAAATGACATAATATTTTTAAAACACTTTGCAAAATGACTGATACATAGTAGGGTCTATATAAATGCTTGTTCCTTTCATCTACATACTGTCTCACCTAGATCTGTAGTGTTAAGATTTAGCTTCTATGATTAACTGATAATGCTGTTTTGATCCTAAAAAAAAATACAACTTGAAAAAAAAATTATGAACAAATTGAAGAAAAAAACAAGCTGTAATATATATATTGTATGCAAATTAAGGAACATCCCCATAGATTGAATTGATCTCATGTCCTAACAAAATTCTAAAGTTTGAAATCAAATTCTTAAGCCTCCTTTGAAATAATCTTCAAATTTTATAGCTATTTAGTTATTGTGTCATTAACAGTTTATCTTCAAAACCGTTTTGATGTAACCCTTATTGGTAAATAGTGCTGTGCTAGGCACTGTATAAAACAAGTTAAATAGAAAGCCTTCTAAGAGATTATAACCTTTTAAAACTGAATACTAGTGATAAAACTATGTTACTAGTATAAAGTATCACTGCCTGCTTTTATATTAAATTTATTAGCAGTTAAGTATGTGCGTCTTGGCAACAAGACCAAAAACTTCAAATCAGTCCTACCTTTATACACTTTAAAAGGGAGCACTTCCTGTATCTAAAGACTTCTCACCATCAACAAATAACTAACTCCAATTGAGGGCACAGACATAAACTTGTTTATGTCTCATACATAATCTAAGACCCTGGGCACAAAGTACTGGAAAATGCAGAAAAGGATGAAGAGAAAAGTCAAAGCAGAGATTCATTAGTTCTAAGTGAAAGTGTCAGTGAGGGTAGCAGAAACAGAACCCAAGTTTGAAAGGTTTAATTTTGGCCATCTAACCAGAAAAGCCAAATTCTTTCTTTCTTTCTTTCTTTCTTTCTTTCTTTCTTTCTTTCTTTCTTTCTTTCTTTCTTTCTTTCTTTCTTTCTTTCTTTCTT